TCCCAGTTAAACTACCAGTGGTCCACCAACCCGGTTATAGATCCGGATGACGGCTTTTCATCCTCTCACTTAGGTGGGAAACACTGCCACGAGAAGGCAGTGAATAGAGCCTCCTCAGCAGAGGCTATTCGAAACGCCTGGTTGTATGGTAGCATTTCGCGAGGTGCAAGGAAGGGTGACCAGCTACAACCTTAGACACCTACCCCCGACCATACTGAGGCGTTTGGAGGTTGAAATGAGTCATGATCAGCGGATTGTGCTCCAGGAAGCCTCATGTATAAAACGGAACCATATCATGGTACTCAATCGGACTATTGGACCAAGAAAGATTTCAAAGAACTTATGATCCGTTTATTTCTGTTAGAAGAAAAACTAGGTCCTCGATAATAATGCGCTGGATCTTTTCCGTTGTAAAGTCCATTTAAGTGCGTTATGGGAGTGTAAAAGGCGCTACGAATCAAATATATTTCACCGAAGGAAGATACATTCGAGTGGTCTGTGCATCAAACCTGCAACGTTTACAAATTCATACAAATTATGCAAATCCCTTGAGATAATGAGAAAGCTTCGCAAATTCGAGAGGATTTCACTTCACAGCTTATTCTGAATCGCACGAAGAATGATCATATAGTTGTAAAAATCTGAGAGAAAGGGGAATGATTGTTTGACTGGACACAAGGAATTCGGATGGGGGTTTAGTTTTATAGGAGTTACTTTTTGTCATTACCTCATTCATGCACCAGGAAATAAATATAAGCATAGAAGACTAATATCATTTTTCACCATTTTGATGACTGCGCATACTCGTCCGCAGTGATTTTCTTTTCATTTTCACTTCTCTCTCTCTGTCTGTCCTTGTATCTCATCCAGGGCGGAAATGATTACGAAGTGTTCAGTGATCCCCGTACAATCGGGCACACCGTCCAGTCCCCGAAAGATACTAGTCATCAGTTGAACACACTGTTCCCGTTTCCATAACCACACGCTAACCTCCACCCGTCCATTTTCTCTCTCTCCCCCTAACGCAGTTGGGATCTCCCATCATGCGTGTATCGGGCAATCTGAAGCGGCCTACATTTAGAGATCATGTGATAGGCATGCGCCACATTTGTGTGTTCCGCACCCCTTTATTTTGTTGAATCATCCCAGGGAACGAAGTTGTGTCCAATTCTTTTCTCCATAGTTTTACTGTTTTTAATCGGTATGGAACCAATACAGATCATTTTTTCCAAAAACCCGACCTCATTTATGCCTTGTTTGCAATACCCATCGGGGTCTCTTTTGTTTCGGCTACTCATCATTGACAAGCCTATGCACGAGTTAGTGAACGAACTTTACGCATATTTGACGGTTACTCCGTTTCTGCTGCTGGACGGACGTTCTTGGTTAAGGTAGTTCGTCGGGATACGGCTTTAATTTGTTTCCGATCCTGTGTCTGAAGATATTCTAATTCAAATCCGTCATTCGGAGATTGGCACTTCTGATGCTGTTTCCATTTAGAGCTCGTATCCGACCCGGTCCCCTTTGTCACCATCCTGATTAGTACAGTTCAGTAAAGCTCATTTCAGCGGTTGTGCTCGTCGCTCCGAGATATTCGTAGGTGACTGTTGTTTGTTCGACTACGCGAAGTGTGAATCGCCACCGGAATGATGCGTAACAAAGCTGCAAAGGCAATCAAAACTGTCCCTATCCATGTCCCGTGATAACATGTTCACCGTGGTTCAATGAGTTTGTGTCCTCAAACAGTCTGTGAGCGGATGAAGGTCAGATAAAGACTGGCTTGTTCTATGAGGGATTAGAATAACTTCATTCACTGTCAGCGTTTCTCTCGTTGTTTTTCCTTTCATGACAGAAAAATATGAGGAGTAGATGATCGACTTAAAAAATAAATTTTCAATAATCGAACGCAGTTTGCTAGTGAGTGATTTAGACTGTAAACTAATCAGATTTGAATAAGTGTTCCAGTCGCAACAACAACCGATTAATCAAGTTTTTGTTTTTGCATACAATTAAATTGGAAGTCAGTTTTGTTTAGCAAAATGAGGTCTACGAGAAATTACCATTTCATGGTTCTTAGTCGAAATTCTCGAATTCGCATTGAATCACATTACTTTGCTGGACCGAGAGACGAAGTAGAATCAATAAGTTTATTTCAAGCCAATGAATGAAAGATATTGTGCCATCAAATTATTTGATGTTCTTTTCATTACTGTAAAACAACTCTTGCGGAGATAAATCAATAATATTGCGTCGTACGGCAATATTCACTCTCCCCGTCCATCTGGTCCGTGGCCTATGACCGGTTAAACATTACACACTGTGTATTTTATTGGTACATTCTTTTTCTTGCATTGATCAATGTTATTTTAGTCACATATAAGCAGCAGAGTGAAACTTGTACATTGACTCGTGACCTGCGCTCAACGCCATTAAGATCCCGTGCTGCTAAAGCCGCGTTTTGTGAGGCCTGAGAGATCAATAGCCGACCGTGCATCGTGTTTCACATATGTGGCGTCCGCTCCTAGAACTATCATCTGTTCACGGACTTAGTGTTAGTCCGCTGTTCCCTTGTGCTACTATTGTTATTGTGCTATAGCTTGTGTTCTTTTCACTTGTGGTGTTCACCTGTGATATAGTGCGGTGCGACCTAATAGCAGGCAACGGATATAAGCGGAGTAAAACATAATTTGGGGACGTAACACAATCCCTAGACGCAGCCGCGGCATCTGTAAGATGTTTTTGATTCTGCTTCACGTTTCTTCTTCCTTCGTGAAATGGAATCATTTGGCTGTCCCAAGCACCTAATGGCGTGTCTAGTTCACTATTTCACAAACAGAACTAAACACACTCGATGGGTGTGAAAACGTTGAGAGAGCTCTAGGGAGCTTTTATCTATCCATTCGTGTTTTTCATCCACATCTGTCAACGAGTGATGAAATACGATTAGGAACGTTGTAGCGAAAGATAATGGTCACATGGCTATCGCTATGCAAATATGATATTGGAAAGTGGAGCAAATCTCTGTATTGAGATTCACGTTGACGAGTACGATCAAAACCGGTATAGCGAGAAAAATGTTTTCCAACGGATGATCCAACTGTAACTAGTTCATCTACAAACAATGCAAAACCGTGATCTCGAATCTCTCAAGCCAATCCGTACGAACTGCTTTCACGACATCTTAATGATCACTGGCTCAACATCTCACACTGTGTACGTGGAAAGTTCTTCGCAAGGACGTACTTGCCGACTCCGAAAATCATGGATTATTTTCATTATCAATGGGAGGTACATATCATGACTTGAACAAAGGCATGTATGCAATGGTAAAGATTTTCGGATTTTCTTTCCTCAATGAGGTCAGATGATATCAAGTATTAAAACGGTCGAAACAACTGTCTAATGCATCCTGGCATCTTAGTTCACGCTTCACTTGCTTTCTACAGGGACGAAAATCATAAAATGTGATGAGAATGTTTCTGCGATTCATCCTATAATCAAATCAAATCCTCCATTACTCTCATATAACAAATAATCAGGTTGTGAAAGTCTCCAACCGAGTCTTAAACCTGGAGGCTAGTGATGAGATGAGCGAGAACCGATACTCGCAACAAGCTCGCATAGATGGATTGTGCGATATCGTGTAAATTGAAATTGAGAAACGGTCTGCCCGGTGATCGAGTGGGTAATATGCTTCCGTTCTACTTGTTAGGTCCCCGGTTCGATCCCCAGTAGGATCAATGGATTCGCACTGCTGAGACCCAAATAGGTCGAGACAGCTGTCCAGTGCTTCCTAGCTTTGAAGCTCGCGCCTCATTTGTACGATGAACTCGTCACATAAACAAATCAAATCCTATATTACTCTCATAATCCCCCTTTAAGTTGGACAGTTACGCTCAACAGGTTCCTTACCCGTCCAGGTTTCGGTCTCTCAACTAGTTGCATGAAGTTCAGAACGACACCCACAAACCACGGTGAATGATTAGCAATAACGAAAAATAAACAGATCGATCATATTTCGAGAGACCCATGTAAAGAAGCCCTCTAAACAATGCGTGCGGTACACACGCTAGTGGAGATGCTGTTGAGTCAGAGAACTCATTTGAGAAAGACTAGGTTAGACCCCGTCATCGGATTGAATCGTGGAGATTAGTTGAGAACTGGCTCCCTAATTTGTTCTTTCCAACGATAAATATATATACCTTACTATAAATTATAATGAAGGAAAACAGAGGGGACGGGGTAACGACAAAATTCTGCTTCATATGGGAAAACACTGACAGTTGATATTCATCTCCCATTTGAAATGGAGGTTACTCCGGAAAAAAGAGATCCTAAAAGGTATAAGGCCTCGGACCCGGCCAAGCTGCCCCATGGAATATGAACATTGGTTTTCAAGATGACGAGATATCGGAAGGACCAAATTATACTCGACGTGTGGTAACGGATTTACAAGAAAGGTG